CATTTACCAAAGTTATATCGAAAAACTTAAGTGGATCTCCAGTTTTTTTGTAAAAAAATGTATCTTAAATTGTATAAAAAACGTTTAGATAAAAGAGCCGGATTACAGAAAAGTGTGCCAGGGAGAGACTTTTTTCATTCGAGCTTAATGCAAAGCACTGTCGTCCAATTGGAAAGTCCTCAAAAGGATTTCCCAGGATATGTTAGAGACTTTTTACATAATGCAATTAACTAAAATATTTATGTATATCTAAACACTTATTGCACGTCTCCTACTTTCATATAACGGCAAATTTAGAAACCGCGAAACTTGTGATTGTTCGTTTACTAATAAACCGCACCAATTTTCAAGACGGCATAAATGGGCTTAAAATGGGCGTTTCTCACAGTAATTGTATTATGTTAATGTATGCAAATAATTATATGCCTGAAACTACTATTAACGTATCAAACGATTCCTAATCTTTGACAATACATGTTTGATTTCCTTCACCACGATCTTGAAAACTGACCAACTCGGCGTGACCAAGTCCATGGTCCTTTTAATATTACATAAACATCCGAAAACATTAAAACGTTTGCAAATAAATATCGTCTCACCTTTTTGTATTTTTCACTTGGTTGCTGAAGTAATGAAGAATTGAAAATTCATGAGGGAAAATTATAGTTTTTGTAAGTTTTATCTTAATATCTTAAAAACTTTAAGNCTAGTTTTTGTAAGTTTTATCTTAATATCTGAAAAACTTTAAGACTTATTGAAAAATGATAAATGAACGTGAGGTACTAAATTTAATAACGCTTAATTTAATATACCGTCCTGCTTATAACAATTAACGCATTACATAGATATTACCAGCCGAAGTTTCATTTTCAAAATTCGTACACTTTGGTTCAATTGCGCGGGCTAAAGATAAGTATTAAATTAATCTTTCGTGGCCAATAACAATTGGCTAAGACCTAAGACATCATAATATTACTATTNCCGACCCAGCCTAATGTACATATATTGAATAACAACCACAGCGGAGTTATGGGATTGGCTTATGACATTTAAAAATATATCTAAAGGTTAATTTGGTTTTGAAAAGTCAGTTTTAGGTTAATTGCAAAAAAAGATATTTTTGGATATCTTTCCCGAGTTTCCCGATAGATTTCCCGATAGTTTTTCAATCAACACATGAAAATGTGCTCTATTTTTTCGACACATCTTTATTTTAAAAAGTTTTCTTACGTTTTCGTATTTTTGGGTAATTTAAAATAAAATTGGTGACTAACATTAATACATTACTTTTTATACCTGAGATAGAAATATATATACAGAAGACTTTGGATATGAGATACTATTGATCATAAGAAATACATATTTAAGCAGACAGCATTATAAACAGTTTTAATAAAATAAAAAAGTCTACAAAAAATATACGGTGGCGAACATTCAACTAGCGACGCAATATTTTGGCAAGTTTTGGCTATTTTTCTTGTGTTTATTGTATAAGTCCGAATTTCAATTGCATCAAATTTTCAAACATTTTAATCCGATTTTTTAGAAGCAATTTTTATAATGGATTTTATAGCCTATTAAATTTTAGTATAATAAAGTGCAAGTTTGAAGTGGCTAAGAAACTATTTCTGTTAAATATATTTTAAGCCATTCGACAGATTTTGTATAAATCTGGATTTGAAATTAAAACCACTTCTTATGTCCTTTCTTATTAACCTATATGGGCCTGATTAATTTGTTTTTCGAATATATTGATGAGATTTCATTTACATCAAAAATCTCATTTTCTAAACATATAGACCTTATGATTACCAAGTCCAGGTTTACGCTCCGGCTTCGTAGTGAGGAATTCAAAGGAATTCCAGGATCTATATACGTTGAAGAGTTTTTATTTTTCTCTTGTCAGATTAAACCTCGAATATTGTAGCATCAGTTGGGATCCATTCTATAAGGATTCATCTTTAAGAATCGAGAAGGTTCAGAAACGTTTCACTAGATTTGCCATTCGTTCCCTTCGTTGGCCTTGTAGTTTGCTTGAATATAAAAGTAAATGCCTTCTGTCAGCATTGTCAAATTTAGAAATTAGAAGAAAAATTTCCTCGGTAATTTTTATAGGGACATAGTCACGAATCATATCAAATGCCACTTCTTACTGACGCCAATACTTTTCAATTATCCTACTCGGAACATTAGACTTAGCAACATGTTTAATTTGCCTTATAACAGGACCAATTTTGGTCTTAATGAACCGCTTACACGTTGTATATGGCAGTCTAACAAATTTTGTAAAAATCGGGACATATTATCTAACTCACGAGAGACTTTTAAGTCAAAACTTAGTTAACCTGGTGATTCACTTTTTGAATTGTGATTAATGTATATTTAAGCTTCAGTATTTAGTAATCTATTTGGCTACATTAGTTTATGAATAAATAACTAAATAAATTCATGAGCCATTTGAGAAGTTGATCTTTGCTTACAGCCACAAAACAAATTAATGAAACACCAAACCGATGAAGAGGAGCAACTCTTCTAGCATACTTTTAGGCACACTATTTCCTTACAAAACCCCAACTGAGTAGATTGCGGAAGTTTATGCGGAAAGGGAAGCCTAAAAATAAGTACCACTTAAGTATAAGAAAAATTAATAAATTTGTATACATTTTGTTTAGAGTTATGGGGTACATAGTTTTAGGCTTCGATTTCTGCATAAAAATCTGCAGTCTACACATAATATAATCGAGTTTGAAAAAAAAATATATTAAAATGTTTAAATCTACTCAAATATGTTTGGTCACAGAACCACAGATTCTCTCTGATCTAAAGTAATTTTTTAAGATAAAGTAACGATTTTTTATTAAAGAGGGTTCTCTAAGCGAAGGTTTTACCACTCGGAAAATTTTCTCGGAAATATTTTTGTAAATAATTTTTATTTCGAAACGATCGCTGAAATTTAAATTTTGGCAGATTTGTCAAAGGCGTTGGGACCACCCAAAAACGTTTTATAAGGAAATGTTTCTCGAGAATTTTTGTGATACATATCAGAACTAGGCTTAAAAATCTAGAGGTACGAGGCTGACGACGAACATTTTCAAGACAAGATCCTCTAGAAGTAAGCTTTCAAACAAAAATGCATGATCACACATTATTTTTCTCGACCCAGTTTCTCGGTTCATATGTACTTAAACATTTAATATCTAAATAATTCATCTATCGAAAAAATCGCCACAATTAATCATTCAGGGCTGTTTAAAATCTGTTTCATCAAAACATTATACCACAATTAAGTCAAATATTCACGCACATTACAAACAGTGTTAGGAGAAAAGACAAACCAAAAACTTACAAATGAAGGAAGTGCGCAAAAATGCTAACGCAATCATAAGTGTGAATGTACATGTAAGCAGCTAAATAAAGTTCGCCCACTCATTTGAAGGGGAGTGTTTGTGAGTCGTTAAAATCATTTATTTACTTTTACGTTTGCCTTACTTGTCAAATGTTCACGCCAACGACATAATCCCGCCGCCATAGCGCGTCCAACGGTACAGGCGAAATGGAAGTACGAACAGCAGCAGCAGACGTGACAGTCACGGCAGTGGTTGTGTGGTCCCGTATACATTTCCAATTTCCGCAACAGCTTCCTGCCGCGCGCGTTGCGGAAGCAACAAGAGAAACGCGCGGCTATCGACGACAGTGGAGGCAGTTGTGGCAGCCAAATAGAGCTCAACTTGTAGATGGCACATCTAGCCAGCGTCATTTTAATGCCAGTCATTGGCAAGCAGCTCCAGCTGGCAACTCAACTAGCAGTTGGCAGCCAGCACTTACTCAGCGTATGCAGGCAGCTAGGCAGGCAGTCCAATAGAGCTAATGTCGAGCAGTCAGATAGTCATGTTGGCTGGCTGGCTGGCTGGCTGACAGGATGGATGCCGAGCAGGCGGGCGGGCTGGCGGGCGGTTGCGCGTGTGTGTGGGCGGGCAACTAAATGGCAGCATCATCATTAACAGTGCAGACAGACATAGACATTGTATGTCGTTCAAATGTAGAGTATGTAGAACAAGTATGAATGTACATACATATGTAGATGAATGAGCTTTTTTATTGCTCACATGCAACAACAGCAACAAAAACCGCAGCAGCAGCAATAATATGAACAGCGAATTACCGCAATTGCGCGGCTGATTTTCAGCAAAGTGCCTGGACTACGTACTGGTACTAGATACTGCTGGTTGGAGGGAACCTGCGACGCGCTGCAGGAGATGGCAGGCGATGATGACTAGCATTGGCATACAAAGTGGCAAGCGGCAAGCGGCCTGCGAAAAGTGGCGAA